GGGTTATTGTGGACCGGCTGACCAAGTCCGCTCATTTTATTCCTGTGTGTACCACTTATTCATCGGAGCGGTTGGCGGAGATTTATATCAGGGAGATCGTCCGTCTGCATGGTATTCCAGTTTCTATCATTTCGGACAGAGGTACTCAGTTTACATCGAGGTTCTGGAGAGCTGTGCAGCAGGAGTTAGGCACTCGGGTGGAGTTGAGCACAGCATTTCACCCCCAGACAGACGGACAGTCCGAGCGCATTATTCAGATTCTTGAGGACATGCTCCGTGCGTGCGTGATTGAGTTTGGAGGGTCTTGGGATCATTTCCTGCCATTGGCGGAGTTTGCTTATAACAACAGTTATCAGTCCAGCATTCAGATGGCGCCGTATGAGGCTTTATATGGCAGGAGGTGTAGATCTCTGGTGGGTTGGTTTGAGCCGGGTGAGGCCAGACTATTGGGTACAGAGATGGTTCAGGATGCATTGGAGAAGGTCAAGGTGATTCAAGACAGACTCCGTACAGCCCAGTCTAGACAGAAGAGTTACGTGGACAAGAAGGTCTGTGATGTTTCATATATGGTTGGTGAGCGGGTTCTGCTTCGGGTCTCGCCTTTGAAGGGCGTCATGCGGTTTGGGAAGAAAGGAAAGTTGAGTCCGAGGTTTATTGGCCCTTTTGAGATCTTGAGACGAGTTGGGGAGGTTGCCTATGAGCTTGCCTTACCTCCCAGTTTGGCCGGAGTTCATCCGGTATTTCATGTTTCGATGCTCCGGAGATATCACGGGGATCCGTCGCATGTGTTGGATTTCAGTTCAGTCCAGCTGGACAAGGATCTATCCTATGTTGAGGAGTCGGTGGCTATTTTGGACAGTCAGGTCAGGAAGTTGAGGTCAAAGAACATCGCTTCAGTGAAGGTTCAGTGGCGGGGTCAGCCGGCCGAAGAGGCGACTTGGGAGACCGAGTAGGATATGCGCAGCCAGTACCCTCATCTTTTCACTACTTCAGGTATGTTCTCTATGCTCGTTCGAGGACGAACGAATCTTAAGTGTAGGAGGATGTAACGACCCGCGGTCGTATTGGAATTTACGCCCGATCCCCGATAACTGCTTCCCCGTAAATTCATTTCTGCTATTTTGTTGTCGAGACGTTCGGTGTTGGGATTTCGGAGTGTTTTTGGGACACTTAGTCCCGTAAATGAGACTTAAGAGTTGAAAAACTGGTCCGTAATCAGACAGTGCGAAGACGACCTCGGAATTCGGGAAATCCGATGGTTTCGTTAGGTGATTTCGGGGTTGGGAGCGTGTTCGGAATGTATTTTGGAGGCTCGTAGCTCATTTAGGCTTGAAATGCCGAAGTTTGGATTTTTGAAGTTTCCGATCCGATAGTGAGTTTTTGATCCGAGGGTCGAATTGGAATTCCGGAAGTTGCAATAGTTCCGTCATGTCATTTGGGATGTGTGTGCAAAATTTCAGGTCATTCGGACGAGGTTCGGGTAGGTTTTTGATCGAAAGCGTGTTTGGTTAGAATTTGAAGTTCTTAGGCTTGAATCCTTGATTAATTCGTGTTTCCGGCGTTGTTTTAGGTGGTTTAAGGATTGGTACAAGTTTGAATGATGTTATGGGATATGTCCGTAGGTTTGGTTGAGGTCCCGGGGGCCTCGGGTGCGTTCCGGGTGCTCAACGGAGCACTTTGGAGTTGGAAAATATTGCAGAAAACTGAACTCAGCTGTTGCAGACTTTTCCTCTTCGCGATCGCGGCCTCCCTCTCGCGTTCGCATAATGTAATCTTGGAGGGAGGCCAGTTTCTTCATCGCGTTCGCATAAACTTCATTGCGTTCGCGTACCTATGCCAGTCAGTTCTTCGCGTTCGCGAACCCTTGCACGCGTTCGCGTAGAACAACTTCTGGACCTTAGCATTTTTCCTTAATCACAATCGCGTTACAGGCCGCGCGTTCGCGTAGCTTTAAAAATCCCAGGCCTTCGCGTTCGCATCCTACTCCTCGCGATCGCGAAGAGCATATTTGACATCTTCCATCTTTCTTCTCCGCGAACGCGATCTAATCTCCGCGTTCGCGATGCATTGAGTGTCTGGACAGTATTTAACATTTCAAAAACGAGGGTTAGCCATTTTTAACAAAACTCAAGCTAGAGAGCTCGAATTTGGGAGAAATTTCGAGGGGTTTTCAAGAGCAACGATTGGGTAACGATTCTCTACTCTCTTATGCTTAATACCCACTAATCTAATCACGATTTCATCTTTAAATTTCGGATTTTGAATGAAAATTGGGTGAAAGTTCATAGACCAAACTATTGGGTTTTGAGGGGGCATTTGACCTCCGATTTGGGAGATTTTTATATGGTTGGACTCGTGAGAGTACGAGGGTTCTGAAAATGTAAAAGTTATTCGATTCCGAGACGTTGGCCTGAAGGGCATTTTGGTTATTTTACCTAATTTCACGCCGTAGCTTTGAATTAAATAGCAAAACCAGTTGTTTGCGATTTTATTTATGATATGTAAATGTATTGAATAGATTTGGGCCATTTGGAATCGGATACTCGTGGCAAAGGCATGGTTTCTAGTTGATTTTGAGCCAGTTCGAGGTAAGTGGCTTGTCTAACCTTGTGTGGGGGACCTTTTCCCTTAGGATATGATCTTGAATATTTGAATGCCCCGTACGTGAGGTGACGAGCGCGTACTTGAGCTAATTGTTGTAAATCCGTTTCTACTTGAAGTATTTAAATTGAGCTTTCTTGTTTACTTGTTCATTTTAACTGTAAGTTTGTACCTGTGCTAGCTTAGAGACTCATGTTTAGCTGGCTTACCTGCTTATTTGCTTTAACTGTGCTATTTGTACTCTGTGAAGCATGTTAGGCTATAATTTACTACTTCGTGTCCTGATTTTTAGCATTGTTCCGAGATTTAGGAATCGTTGTTGTTGTGTGTTTAATTTGGGACTACGGGACGGCTTCCCGGGAGATCCCCTGTACTTGAGATATTCTGGACTGAGGGTGCGGGATACCAAGAGAT